GGTCAGAGCAGTCAGTGGTGGTAGCTGGGCATCATCTGGCTGTACTGAACTCAGTCTGGTGGAGGCCATGGTAGCTGTGGTCCATTAGTCCTTTGGACTAATCTTTTCCTTGTATCCTTTTCTTTTCATTCTCCCATGCTCCTGAAGGGGTGAGACCAGTGGAGTGTCTTAGATAGCTGCTAACAGGCTTTTAAGACCCCAGACGCTACTCACCAAGGTAGAAGGTAGAATATTGTCTTTCTAAACTGTGTTATGCCAATTGAGCTAGATGTTCCCTGAGACCATGGTCCCTACAGTCCTCCACCCAGCAATTCAGTCCCTCAGGGGTTTGGATGTGTCTATGGAGCTTCCATGACATTTTCTTGTACAAGTTGTGCTGGCTTCCCCAGTATTGTGTACTGTCTCACCCTTCACCAAAGATACCACTTATCTATTGTCTATTTAGTAGTTCCCTCCCACCTCTCCCATCCCTCGTAACCAACAAAGATTGTTACTTTTTGTGTGTAAACTTTTTCATGAGTTTTTACAATAGAAGTCTCATACAATATTGATGAACCTGTGAAGCATCACATAACATGGATGAAACTGGGGGACATTACGCCGAGTGAAATACATCAATCACAAAAGGACAAATATTGTACATTTTTACCTTTTAAGCTTACTGTCATTTATCATGAAAAACTTAGAGACAGTAAAAGAAAAATGTGCATTTATACACACACGTGTGATGCAAAGGACCTCCACTATCATGTTTTCTCCTGGACAGTGTTCTCAAAGTGTGGTGTTAAGATGACTTGCATAACTTACTGACCTAAAGAGCCTCTTAAGAGGTTACTTTCCCACATTACACCCAGGCTCAGACTCACTGAATCAGAGTCACCAGGGGTGTGATTCAGAAATCTGCATTTGAAACAAGCATATCTGTTACACAAGTGGAGCTGCTTCAAGCAGCAAGGCTTTAGGGGATGATGTCACATTTTTCTAAGATTTGTTAGCTATGGAGCGTCTTTAAAGTACATTTCAATATAATGCCAGATGTGTATCCATCACATATTGTGTGAGGCTTATTTTTAAACACATGGGGTCGCCATAAGTCAGAATTGACTGGACGGCAATGGGTTTTTTTTTTTTTAATGGTTTATTTTTAAAGTAATGATTGATAATTTGAGGAACTGCCCAGAATGATGGCAATAATTACAGGTTTTTAGATATCATTAAATTAATCCAATTCCCAATTTGTTTCTAGGCCATTCAAAGCAACTAAAATGCTAAATGTGACTGTCGGTTGACAGCAGTGATATATATATATACACATATGTATATATATATATACACATGTGTGTATATATATACATATGTGTATATATATATATATATTCTGTTTTCTTTCATATTCTCTTTTAATAAGCATAAAAATCTCACTCCTTTAACATGAAGAGTCTGATATGGGCCCTACAGGGTGTGTCAGCTACACCCCATGCCCAGTTAAGGACCACAATCTTTTTCATATTCCCATTACCTGAGAAGACGTTACTTTTTGTGGTTTGTATTTTAAAAAAGTAGTTTTCTTTGTTTGCCAAATACAAAATTATGGCAACAGTTTTTTTGTTTTCCCATCCACAAGTGCTCCTTTTCCCCAGACATCACCAATTCAGCAAGAATAATGAACTCAGGGAGCTTCCGGCAAAATGGCGCTCTAGGCAGAAGCACCACGCCGTCCCTCCACAGCAAAGATCTGAAAAACTAAGTTGAACAGAGAATACAACAATCCTGAAACCCTAAAACATCAAATGAAGAGATAAAGAACTCAGCCAAGCACCAAATGGAGTGACAAAACTGACA